GAATTCATTTTATACATTTTTGGGACACAAATGGGGTGTTTCAATGACCTTGTATTACTAATGATGTATCTGTTTCTGTGTGTATTTTAGAAAGTGACCGCTTACATGGAAGAAGATGATGTTTACACAGCCAAAGATTGCCTTCTGGTTTATTCTCAGGAAGAAACTGAATCTCTACATGGTTCCATTGGCTGCTGCAGTTTTATTGAAGGAGAGATAGATGATCTCTTCTTAGATGATTTGGGAACTAAATTCAAGACACTTGCTGAAGTTTGCATGGGTCATAAAATAGAGATGGGTATGGAAGTTGAGCCGAGGCAAAAACCTGTCACAGAAACAAGTATGAGCACAGTTTCACGTTCACACTCTGAGCAAACTAGGGTTCATTCAGAAAATACCTACTCCATTGGCAATACCTTTCAAGTCTCAAAACCTTCGCATGAAGCACCTGCAGAGAAAGTAACTCAGGAATTAGTCACAGAAAGATCCATGTCTTCTCTGAAGGGTCAAAAGGTAGTTACACCTCTTCCTGATCCATTGTTCCCTAGTAATATTGTAGTGACAGAAACATCCTATGCCACAGGCTCCACCAGCCAACCAAACACTGCAATCCTGGGTTCTAGACAACCACAGGGCCTTATTGTGACAGAGCGGGTGTACGCTCCAACATCTACTTTGGTAGATCAGCATTACGCCAATGAAAGTAATGTTGTGGTCACTGAACGAGTAATAAATCCTAATGAGGGCATACTGAATGCTCTTGAAGTCCCTCCGCATCTGCCAGATGCACATTATGTCATGGTGAGGGAAAGAGAGAGGGTTCTGGCCCCTAGCTCAGACATGCAGCCCCCGTTGGCCATGCCCAGGGTTAAAATGGGACAGAATGTGACAGTAACAGAAAGAGTGCTGACACCTGCTTCCACTCTGCAGTCTAATTACCAGCTTCCTGCTGAAAGCTCCACAGTCACTAGAAAGCCCATGGTTTCTGGAGCTAGTGTCACTGACCCTGTGCCAAATTTGACTTCTAATACTACCATAGCCACATCTTCCACCAGACTCACCAAGCATAGCACTGTACAACATTCTTACACCTAAATGACAGTCAACCACAATCTGTTTAGCTAGCAACTCCTGGTTTCATGTTTTCAATGTGTGTAACTTTTCATGACCGTGACCGATAAATAAAGAACAGAAATGTTGGACTTGCGCTTTTTCTCGTTCGATATGAGGCAAAGGATCATACTGTCTCTGTTTCCAAGAGTCTATTTCAGAAACGTCCCATGATTTACAGAGGGCATAGTGATGTTATTTTTTTCTTTCTTTTGTTGTTTTGTCTTTCTTCCTGTCTTTCATTGTGGGTTAGGGGAAAGGTGATGGAGCAAATTAATTTACTTTAACCAATTTATAGGCACTCTGTTGATGTTGTTTCTTAAATGTCTTTTAGTGAGTTATGACCAAACACTATTCACCAAGCCAGTTAACAGGCAGGAAACTTGGCTTCTATGAAATTTAACCAAATCAACAGATTATCTAGTTCATCATCCATTCAGTAAATGCCTCACAAAACTGATTGGGCCTCTTTGTATACCATATTAACATTAGACATTGTTGTGGTGCTGTAGAATAAACACTGAACTGCTAATCACAAGGTTGATGGTTCAAATCCACCATCTGCCCCTCAGAAACCTTATTACAGAACTATGCATTTAACGTTTCAAAGTATAACTATGAATTGAAACCTAATCAACAGCACTTAACAACAACGATGTACTTTACCTAAAAGATTATCAACAGTTCATTAATTTAAAGGAACTTGCATCAATCTGAGCTGGGATTTTGTTAATTTGTTTCCTTTAAAGCAGCGCTGTTTTAATGTGTGCGAGGTTGATTGGATTTTAGAATGTTGACATGGTAAGAACACACCTATGTTTCTGTGCATGAGTGAGTATGTATGAGTGTGTGGTGTGGCATAGCTTTTCCTTGTCTTTCAATATATATAAAAACATCAAAGACTTGAAATCCAGCTAGATAGTCTAGGACAGAATTCATAACTATATAGTAATTTTGATTTTTATAGTTCTCTTATACAAGGGGGGAAAACCACTTAGGAAACAGCTCCTAGTATTTAGTGCTGCTAAATTTACCACAAATTTGTCATCATAACTGGTAGGAACCATGTTGGTTTCATTCATTGCTGTATATCCTACTTAGCACAGGTGCCAAGTAAAATTTGTTGAATTAAACTGATTTATGTTGTTGTTGTTAAGTGCCGTGGAGTCGGTTCCGACTCATAGCGACCCTGTACAGGGTTTCCGAGGCTGTAAATCTTTACGGGATCAGAACACCTCATCTTTCTCCCACGGAACAGCTGGTAGTTTCGAACTGCTGACCTTGCGGTTCCCAGCCCGATTTGTAACCACTACGCTACCAGAGCTCCACAATTCTTCAATTCTCAATTGCCAAAAATCTCAAAAGACTCTTATGATTTTTAAACTGTGGTTTTATTCTGATGTGGCAAAGCCCTTGACTAGTTCCAACTGTGTTCAGCCTAGTGTGACAGTCCAACTGCACCATAGGGTTTCTTGACTAATCTTTACGGAAGCTGATTACTGTGTCTCTCTCCCTCCCAGCTGCTGGATATTTGACCCGCCAATCTTTATGATAGCAGCATAGCACTTAACTGCTACACTACCAGAGCTCCTCACTAAAAATCCTATGAAATGCCTTGTTATTGTGCCGTGGAGTCAGTCTGACTCACAGCGACCCTGTACAGGGTTTCCAAGACTATAAATCTTTATGGGAGCAGAAAGCCTCATCTTTCTCCCGTGGAACAGCTGGTAGTTTCAAACTGCTGACCCTGAAGTTAGCAGCCCAATTCATAACAACTACGCTTCCAGAGCTCCTTATTAAATGCCTTACTGAGTACTAAATACCCTTTATTAAAACCTCAAATTATTGACCTTATTTTGCACAACATCCTGGCCATTCCTTTTTTATGTTAGTTGGGGATTTTGGTTCCTAAATAGATTGTTGCATTTTTATTGTTCTGTAGGAGGGGACTATGCATTTAAAGTTTCAAAGTATATGTATAGTAATAATTTACATAAGTATTTGGGGCTACAACAAATTAGTTTTCATAATTTTTAAAGACTGTACTTCTGTGACCTTCAAGATCTTTTGCAAGGAAAATTAAGGTTTAAAAATACCACTTTTATAGCACATTTAAAAAATACTATTGACTTGAGTTGTAGCATGCAAAGGGTTTCTACAGTGTGCTCTGCTAACATTGTATAGGCAGAAAGGAAATATTTTTACACATCATAAGTCAGGCTGAGATAAAGGTCACAGCTTCTATGATATAATTTCTTTTTTTTTTTAACTCCTTTCTTAACAGTTGTTGTTGTTGTTGTTAAGTGCCATCGAGTCGGGTCCGACCCATAGCGACCCTGTACAGGGTTTCCGAGGGTGTAAATCCTTACGGGAGTAGAAAGCCTCATCTTTCTCCCGTGGAGCGGCTGGTAGTTTCGAACCGCTGACCTTAAGGTTCGCAGCCCAATTCGTAACCACTACGCTACCAGAGCTCCTTGGAAAATCTAACTTGCCTCTTGGATATAATGTAATCACATTTTCTAGATGTTTTGTTTGTTGTAAGGATAATTTGTATTAGTTTTCACATTAGTTTTTCAGGAGATTATTTTTGAGTATGCATCATCTTGTTATTTACCATAGAGTCAATTCATTGAGTATCACCATAAAATATTTGAATAAAGACTATTTTAGAGCAATCTTTTTGCATGTCTTTTCATTGCTCACATCTTATAGTCTGGCTACTAACCTCAAGGTCAACAGTTCGAAACTACCAGCCATTCCACGGAAGATGAGGCTTTCTGCTACCATAAAGATTTACAACCTCGGAAACTCTATGCGGGGGTCTTTATTTTTTGGGTTAGTTGCTCTTGTTCTGAAAAAATAATTTAAAATACGATCTCCTGCTGATATATAGTGAAATATTTAATATGTCTCTTCCAGACATAGTGACCCTGTGTAGAGTTTCCAAGGAGCAGCTGGTGGATTGGAACCACCAACCTGTGGTTAACAGTCTAGTTCTTATCCTACAGTGCCACCCAACATAGGGAGTTAGAAATTATTGAAAATAAACATAGAGGCTACCACTTATCTTTCAATTTGTCGTATTGTGGAGGCTTGCATGTTGCTGTGATTCTGGAAGATACTTTAAATGCCGGTGGTGGTGGTTATGTGCCATGGAGTCGGTTCCGACTCATAGCGACCCTGCACAGGGTTTCCGAGGCTGTAAATCTTTACGGGAGCAGAAAGACTCATCTTTCTCCCACGGAACAGCTGGTAGTTTCAAGCTGTTGATCTTGCGGTTCGCAGCCCGATTCGTAACCACTATGCTACCAGAGCTCCTTTCAAATACCAGTAAGGTCACCAAAAGGAGCTCTGGTAGCATAGTGGTTACAAATCGGGCTACTAACCTCAGGGTCAGGAGTTCGAAACTACCAGCTGTTCTGCAGGAGAAAGATGAGGCTTTCTGCTACCATAAAGATTTATAGCCTTTGACACCCTATGCAGTCTCTATGAGTTGAAACTCATAGAGTTTCAATCTGTCCACCAGGTGTGGACAGATTTCAGCTAAATTTCCAGACTAAGACAGACTGGGAAGAAGGAGAGACAGATTACTTCTGAATATTTAATCACTGAAAACATTATAATTAGTAATGGCACTTTCAGCACCAGAATATTTAATATTAAAACATGATAAATAGCTCACCAGCTACTCCTCGGAAACCCTATACAAGGTCACTATGAGTCAGAACTGACTCCACAGCCTTAACAATAACAACAATGACAACAAGATACCAGCTACTCCTCAGAAACCCTGCACAAGGTCACTATGAGTCAGAACTAAATTCACAGCATTTAACAATAACAATGACAACAAGATAAGGTTTTAGGTTTTGTTAGATCCTTTGAGCCAAGTTGAGTTAGTTTCCTGTAAATACACCCAAAAGTCCACAGTAATCCAGTTGATTAGAACTCATAGTCTGGTAGCAATTCACATATTTCTCCACTTCAGAACCCTCTGGATGGCAGAAATAAAATGGAATTAAAAAACACATTTATCTATGCCTACACAATTCCCTTCCTTTCCTACTCCTGGAAAAATAAATAAAACTCAACAACTTTGTTGCTGTTAGGTAATAGGGTCAGTTCCAATTCACAGTAATTCTAGGTTTAACAGAACAAAACACTGCCTGATCCTGCGCCATCCTCACAACCATTGCTACATTTGACATTGTGTCAATCCATTGCCTTGAAGGTCTCCCTGTTTTTGACACTTTACTTTACCAAGCATGATGTTCTTCTCCAGAACTGCTTCTTCCTGATAACATGTCCAAAGTAGTAATTCTCACCATTGTCACTTCTAGGGAGTATTCTGGCTGTACTACTTCCAAAACAGATTTTTTTTGGTTTGTTTCTCTAGTTGTTGTTATTGCTATTAAGTGCCAGTGAGTTGGTTCCAACTCATAGCAACCCTGTGTAGGGTTTCTGAGGAGCATCTGGTGGGTTTGAACTGCCAACCTTGTGGTTCACAGTCCAGTGCTGATCCTACAGTGCCACACCAGGAGTCTGTGGTATTTTCAGTATGTAGGATAAGCACTAAGTCAGTGTTTCAAACCCATGCAGGAAGATGAGGCGATCTGCTCCTATAAAGATTTACAGTCTCAGAAACCCTGGAGAGGGTCACTATGAGGCGGTATCACTAGATAGCAGTGAGTTTGCCAACATGGTAATTCAAAAGCATCTATTGGTTTTTTGTGGGTTTTTTTTAATGTTCTATTGTGAATTATTTGATAGTTTGCATGGGATAACATTAGCTTTATATTCATCCTAGTGTATAACATTTCATCACCATGGTTACAATCCCCTCCATGCATCATCAACCAACCAAAGAGTATACTCTGCAAGCCTGCCCCTCCCTTCTCCCCCCCCCCCCCAGCACACAGCTCCTCTCCCCTCTCCCTCATCTATTCTTGAGTCTACATTTGCAGAGTAAATGTGCATGTTATAGG